CGGCTGTATCCTCAGACGGTGCCTCTTCAGAGAAGGGAAGGGCGGTGTGCATTTGTCTAATTATGGACAAGCTCGGCTGGAGGGCAGTGTTTTTCGTGGGCTGCACTATGCTGTCCGCTGCATCCAGAACGCCACAGTAAATAAAATCATAATTTTCCATTAAACTAACAGAATGTTATTTAATTATATCCTAACACATATAAAATTCCCATGTTTAGTGACTTAAATGCAGCCTGCCTTTTCAGTAATGTGTGGAGTTACGGAAGCAGCCAAGATCATGAGTAATTAAGCAGCAGTTTCCTATTGACACTGTTACTTGAGCTGCCTTTTCCTCTCTCACTGCCCTCAGATCGTGATGCTGAGAAATGAGGTGTGTGAGTGCCGTGCGTCAGGTGTGTTCCTGCGTCTCTCTGCTCAGGGCCTCATTGCAGAGAACAACATCCACTCCAACGGAGAGGCAGGGCTGGACATTAGGAAAGGGGCTGACCCTATAATATTGGTAACTGCAGCTGAAGTCCATATTTTTTAAAGATGCAAACAATAAGATATTATCTTAATATGAAGTCCAGTTACTAATTATTCTAAGATAGCAACTTGCGGGAGACTTTTAAATTATTCAGTGTATAAGGTCAAGAAGCTGCTTTATGTAAACAAACAGAGGTCCATAATAACCCAAATGATGAAGAGACAATAAAGCACAACAAAAATGATGCATTTGGTTAAAATGTTTGTAACATCAGTAGGTACATTTTGAAATGTAACTGCTGTCAGCTTGATCTTATTTTCTACTCTGATTTTACAGTCCCATTCTGTCTTTGATTCCGCAGTGCAACAGAATACATAGTGGTTTGCGTTCTGGGGTCGTTGTCCTTGGCAATGGGAAAGGTTCGATTCGAAGCAACCAGATCTATAACAACAAGGAAGCAGGCGTGTATATTCTTTTCAGCGGGAATCCTGTGGTCAGGTAGGTGGGACTCGGCAAACATCTTGCTTCTCAGGAATGTGTAATCCTCACTTTTCCCCAGAACTTGGATTGATAATCATTGTTTTCATACAGCATGTAGAAGTTTTTTTCAGTATGGACAAAAGACAGGATATTTTAGAGCGTTCTTTGGCTGCTGAGTACCACAGCAGGGGTTTTTCACAGTAGACATTTTAACTTTCATAGTAGAAACAATGTCTAGTTAATTGAAGGAAGTGCTGATAATCAGCCTTTAAGGGCATTTGTTCATCTTTTTATATAACGCTTAAAATCCTCTTTCTGCAAACACTTGTGGTATTGCATGGCTTGATAGGCAACTTAACTATCACCCACTGCTGCAGTACAATGGTACACAGTATGGTGTGATACATAACCTAGTATTTGGCAGTGAAAGTATGCTATTAGCTGTGTTACATAATGCTGTGAGATGGTGATGCTAGGAGCGCGGGTGCTACCAGAAAAATATTTTCTCCCTTCCTACTCATATTTTCTCTTCTCTTCCTTAGTGGGAATCACATCTTCCAAGGCCAGGCAGCAGGGATTGCTATAAATGAGAATGGCAGAGGAATGATCACAGGTCAGTATGTGGGCCTGTCCCTTCGCCTTGTTTACATTACATATGAAACGCCAAATAGATTCTCTCTTGTCCCCCACTGATGTGTCACTTTATATAAAGTAGAGGCAATACTTGTACCAAATTAGTAACTTAATTTTTTTTTTACATATAAATATATTTTAATTCCAGAGAATGTGATCAGAGAGAACCAGTGGGGGGGTGTGGACATCCGCAGAGGGGGTGACCCCATCTTGAGGGACAACCACATCTGTTATGGCTACTCAGATGGCATGGTGGTGGGGGAGAGAGGCCGAGGACTTATTGAGGGAAACTATGTGTACTGTATGTAATTTCAGCATCCTGAATTAATCTCATCCTGTACACAGGAGATGCAAACATTTAATTTCCGCTCTTTCTCCTGTTTCTTCAGGTAACAAAGGCTGTGGTGTGTGGGTTATGTCGTCCAGTCTCCCACAGCTCCTGGGAAACTACATCACCCATAACTGTATGTATGGGCTGGCAGTGTTCTGCAGGAAGGACCCGGAGAACATCGAGGCCAGGGAGGGGAACTGGCCAGGGCAGGAAGGGATTGGTGGGGAAGGAGGCAGTGGTGAAAGAAGGGGAGTAGAGGGAGAAGGAAGAGAAGGACAGGAAAACTTGAATGAAGAGGGGGAACTGTTTGCATGGGAGAGCGATCTGGACAGCGAGGATGAGCGCCATTCTGCTCGTCGTTCCATCAGTGTGGCCCTGGTGGAGAGCAACTACATAAGCTACAATGGAGGTAGAAAATACACCTTTTGAGTATTACACTTTATCAAATACACAAAGTCACTCACTCCCCATCTTTACTTCTCCCTTTCTGTAGCAGTTGGTTTATACATGAAGAGCAGTGAGCCCCTGAATGTGTTCGCTAACCTCATAAACAGAAACCACGGTACAGGTATTGCTGTGCTGCAGAGCAGTCAGCTGACCCGGCTGGTTACAAACTGCATTCTTGAAAACGGTCGAGGCGGTGTTACAGTGGAGAAGGACTGCCGAGTGGAGCTTCGTGGTAATGGCATCTATGAAAACTGTGGTCCTGGTGTCAGTTTCACTGGTAATGGGCAGATTGTGGAGAATGATGTGGTTGGAAACCGAGGATACGGAATCCAGGTCTCAGGCAATGCTGACATCAAGGTGAGATGCAGTGAGGTGTGAACACACTTATTTCAAATACACTGAACAGAGCTACGTATTGAAATGTTAACAGGACACTCTTTGTTTTTGTTTTGTTTTTTATCTTTAGGTATTGCGCAACCGAGTCCAACCAGCACAGGGCTGTGGCATTGCTGTGCTAGGGCCAGTAAAAGGTGTGGTCTATGACAATCTCTTGTTCCAGGGCCACCCTGGAAACAAAAAAACACTGATACATCTGGATCCTGGCAATGATGGCTGTGTGTTGCGCAACAACAGTATTCTAAGGCATGATAACAGGTAAGTAGGCAACCAGTGGAAAGGGCCAAAGATTCAAAGACGATCAGTGGCTTTACTGTCTGTACTCTCTCAGTTTTATTCTGCTATACATAAAGGGGGCAACAATGGATATTTTTATAAGAATGACAAGACTGTGAAAGGGATCACTAGAGATGGACCTACCCAAACATGCAGCTTGCTTTGACTTACTGTTTCAGCTCATTGTCTGGCCCACAACTTACAATAGCTTCACAAAGCATTCACACCCTTTCACTGTTTTCACACTTTGTGATGTAGAATTACTTTTAAAACCATAAAATTGTCAAGTTATCAGTCTACACTCAGCCCAGTGTTGAAGTTAAAATGTTGCAAATCATTTCATTTTCAAAAGGATTCAGACCCTTAATTCAATAGTTTTGTAAAAACCTTTTGGCAACAGTTTACAGCTTTGAGTCATCTTGAATAAGTCTATACAAGCTACATGAAGAGGGCTGAACACTTTCTGAAGCAACTGTAAACGGGTTTGGTCTCAGTGCTCTCGTAGGTTCATTTTCAGCCTCAGGAGGCTGCTGTTTTCATTGAAGCTTTTGCTGTAAACTACCCGCTGAGCCTCAGACACATTTAGCCACTAACTGGTGAGCATAGTGGAGCACGTAGCAGAAGAGCCAGATATTTTCCTAAGGATATGGTAGAGATCAAAAATTAAAAGGTAAAAAAGTCATTATAGGATTTAACAGTTGCCACGTAGCCAGAAACACAACTCCTACTGAATGATAATGTTGCTCTGTAGCTGCTGTATGTGTAAATAAAATGTTTGCTGCTCGCCATACCAACTCTAGAAGTTGATGGAAAGTCAATGTCAGGTTCACATCTTGTTTCCACTGCTGCCAAATGGAGCAAAAAGATGTTGTAGAAAGTTCGGCATCTACAGTGCTTCTTGTTTTTGTGTGAATTTTCTGTCTGGAAAAATCCTTATTTACCATTTTAAAATCTTTTTGCATTTCTTTGTAGCCTTACATCTGCTCCTCCCTGGATTTTAGAAAACCCTCCTCCTCGTCCACTGGCCAGCCCCCCCTCTGGCCTCTCCTCATCCCAGTATCCTTCTCGACTTGGAATTTCCATGACGACCAGGATCAGCGCCACTGTGGAGAGCGGTTGCCACAGTGGCAGCATGTTCTGCTGCATCCTGTGAATACTGGTAAGCACTTACAAACCAAAACAATAGACTTTTGCACATGGTGTATTATCGTATGTTTTGGAGCACTCTGACCTTCCTCAGAGAAGACCCTACAACTGGGATGAACAAAGTGTACAAGACAAGGAAGAGGCTGCACCACTAAGGGAGCCATCCAGCTTCCCGAACAATAGACTGGCACATTTTGTAAAACTGCAATCAGATGTTTGTAATTTTATCATAAAATGCCAGTGCACTTATCAAATTCATCTAATGGCGTGAAGCTGGAGTACAGCACACTTGAGCAACACCATCATCCTGCATCTTAGACAACCATTTCTGTACTAAAGCACTTTTACATGCAGATGTCTTATCCATGTGCAGGACAGCTGCAGCTACTTTGGTTTTGTCATTTTGTTCCCAAGACTCCCTGCTTAGGAAGTGCACATTTATAAATCCTAACAGGAGTCAAAGGAATCAGAGACGCCAGCTTCAGCCATGCTACAAAATTAAGCTATGCCTTTATCTGTGCAGATTCTCAGTCATCCAGGTCATAGTAAACCGCAACCGAAATAACCTTGGAAATCAACTGGACTTGGATAATGATAATGTTGCTCTGTAGCTGCTGTATGTGTAAATAAAATGTTTGCTGCTCGCCATACCAACTCTAGAAGTTGATGGAAAGTCAATGTCAGGTTCACATCTTGTTTCCACTGCTGCCAAATGGAGGAAAAAGATGTTGTAGAAAGTTCAGCATCTACAGTGCTTCTTGTTTTTGTGTGAATTTTCTGTCTGGAAAAATCCTTATTTACCATTTTAAAATCTTTTTGCATTTCTTTGTAGCCTTACATCTGCTCCTCCCTGGATTTTAGAAAACCCTCCTCCTCGTCCACTGGCCAGCCCCCCCTCTGGCCTCTCCTCATCCCAGTATCCTTCTCGACTTGGAATTTCCATGACGACCAGGATCAGCGCCACTGTGGAGAGCGGTTGCCACAGTGGCAGCATGTTCTGCTGCATCCTGTGAATACTGGTAAGCACTTACAAACCAAAACAATAGACTTTTGCACATGGTGTATTATCGTATGTTTTGGAGCACTCTGACCTTCCTCAGAGAAGACCCTACAACTGGGATGAACAAAGTGTACAAGACAAGGAAGAGGCTGCACCACTAAGGGAGCCATCCAGCTTCCCGAACAATAGACTGGCACATTTTGTAAAACTGCAATCAGATGTTTGTAATTTTATCATAAAATGCCAGTGCACTTATCAAATTCATCTAATGGCGTGAAGCTGGAGTACAGCACACTTGAGCAACACCATCATCCTGCATCTTAGACAACCATTTCTGTACTAAAGCACTTTTACATGCAGATGTCTTATCCATGTGCAGGACAGCTGCAGCTACTTTGGTTTTGTCATTTTGTTCCCAAGACTCCCTGCTTAGGAAGTGCACATTTATAAATCCTAACAGGAGTCAAAGGAATCAGAGACGCCAGCTTCAGCCATGCTACAAAATTAAGCTATGCCTTTATCTGTGCAGATTCTCAGTCATCCAGGTCATAGTAAACCGCAACCGAAATAACCTTGGAAATCAACTGGACTTGGATATCTAGATCGAAGACGTTTCACCTCTCATCCAGGAGGCTTCGTCGGAGATATTTATGATGATGAAGCCTCCTGGATGAGAGGTGAAACGTCTTCGATCTAGATATCCAAGTCCAGTTGATTTCCAAGGTTATTTCGGTTGCGGTAAGCTATGCCTTGTTTAACTTTCTAAACAGTTATTATAGCTAGGGAAGGAATAGCTATACTGTGACATGTGTATATAAAAAAAACCCCAAGCTTTAAGCCTGTTACACACAGCTCTTTTCCTGGTTGCTCTGTTTTTATATCATGTCACCTCAGTTCTTTTTGATTATTTTTTTTATTCAGTGAGTGGAGAAGTTAGTACAGATCAGCATGCTGCACAGTTACACACCAGGTCACAAAGACTTGAAATGTATAAAAGAGGTTTATTGTGTAATATGTGATGTCTCCAAATGTGCCTGTTTTAACTAGCTGGATGGTTCTGTCTAGAATTTGTTTACAACTCATTACTCCACATTTTTGTATCATCCACATTCTGTAACAAGATCATGTATAACAAAGTTAACCTCTTTGTCTACAAAATGCATTAATAAATGGCTCATTTGTGGTATTTCTATTTCTTAGAATTCTTTATCCAGTTCTTTTCTTGTTAGTCTTCAGTGCATCTTCTTTCGCTTCCGTCTCTCCACAAACTGATCATATTTGACCAGCGGTAGAACAACAGAGGCGTGCTTGTGTTTGTCTTGCAGCACAGCCTGATCGTCCTTCCCTTTGGCCGGTCTAGATAGGGTTAGTCCCATTGACTTTGCAACTTCAATCATCCTATCGGGAAAGATATGAACTAGGTAAACCAACACATATCCTCCACTGTACCTGATATTCACAGCCCTTAAATGGCGTGGCAACCATCTCTACACAACAAGAATGGTATGATTCACAGTACTCTGGGCTGAGTTGACACCACTGAATTTAACAGTGGCCTTCCTTTAAACACTAACATTAACCTAGTGCATATAAGTATAACATGCTACAACATAATGTGGTACACATAAAATAAAAAAACAATACATATACTAAAGTTTCTATGTAAGAATCCACACTTGGCTCCTTTTTTTTTTTTTTTACCTGGCCTCTGTGATTCCCAGGTCTCGATGCAGTAATGTCAGGTCAGCAGTCATGTGACCCATATGCAGTAGCAGGGCCAGGGAGTAAGCTGCTAATTTAGCACGCATTGATGTTGACACCATGTTGTGGATCCTAAAAGGTGTAGTGAAATTCACATGTTTATATGCAAGATAGAAAATCTTTGCAACAGGGAATGTGTTAACTGGACCTATGTACATCTCATGACGTGCTAATAGATCCCTTTCCAGAAAATACAGAAATTTAATTTAACCAAATCTAATTCTAGACATGCCATGGTTGTGAAATACATTCTGTTATACAAAGAAATTTCCATCATCATACCTGCCATTGTTGAAAGTTTCCACAGTAAATGTTCTGAACAGTTTGGTCTGAAGGATGCGAGGGCAGCCTTCCTCCTGCACAACTGCACATACAAATAGAATATGTATTTAGTATCTACATCTCAACCTTAAGTCGAGTAGGTTTATGGCAATATACAAAGAACTGTTTGGGAGGTAGCCATTTTGACACATACAGTAGTACCCAAAGTTTATGGATTTGAATGTAATTGGACAGACGTGAAGTCATACCACATGATTTTATCAATATTTTATGGAAAATCCTTTGCAATCAATGACTGCCTGAAGTCACAGAACCATCAAAACCAACACACACACACTATCTTCCCTGATGATGCTCTTAACTGTAATGAAGATAAACATTACTCACACTTGCGGCTGATGCTCTTCTGCCGTGCCATTTTTAGGAGCAGAGAAAGATAAAAAGCGCAGCGTGCTATTTTATCTCTGGCTTCCCCTACAGCTGGCATGCTCTCTAAGTGCTTCACCACATACAGAGACCTTAAAAAAGTACAAACAAAAATGAGATTGCTAGGAAACACATGCAGCTTAATAAAATGCTTCAGCAAGTATGGCCCCTGTGTCGCCTCACCCGCCGTCATCTCTCATCTTCTTCAGCTCCACGGGAGTGAGTGCTGCCATCTTGGAACCAGCCTGCTCCAAAGCACTAAACTCCACTGGACTCAGGACTGTGGATATTAGTTAAGAATCGAAATCGGAGCAAAATAATTCTTGCATTCAACAGTGGCGCACACACACACACAAAGCAAGTGAAAGATACGATCATCAAATGGGTAGACATCCTCAGGTCTGTCTGCATCTGTGTTGCAGGTAGGCAGGTGGAGAGCCAGGTCTCCTTGGGACTCTGTCTCAGCCACTTCCTGCTGTAAAGCTGAAGGCAGGGAAAAGAAAATTGACAGAATTTGACACAACAACCGAAGATATGGAAAGAAAGTTGACTACTCAAGCTGCCAGGAATAAAAAGTTAGCTTTGTCTTCTCTATAAACTGAATTCTGAGATTTCTTGACGGCATTAACTATTTCTTTATTGCAGACTACTGGCATCCTTACTCAGTGACTTGGACACTTGGACTATGTAGCTTACCTTCCAGACCCTTCTGGTCGATCACAGTGCTGGCAGCCTTAGCCACTGCATGGTGCAGGGCATCAGCTCCCACCTGATTCAGCTTGCGAGAGCTCAGAGCTCTCTTCTGTTTGCTGGTGCCAAATGCCTCAATCAACAAGTCAACCTAAAGAAAAAACATTGAAATAAAACATTAACATCAAGTGTCATCTTCTTTTAGCCAAGTTGTCTCTTATTCTAAGATCAACAGGGCAAACTACCTTGTCTCTGTAGGTCTGAGTAGTGTCCTGGGGGTTTGAGGCCTCTGTTGTCTCCCCTGGTGGAAAAAAAGAGCATTTTCATTGACAAAGTCAAAAAGAGATTCTAAGCAAACAAGCATTTTCCTGTAAAAAAGATAATGATCTGATCATGATTGAAAATGATCAATAATGTGGGCTACATTGATTACTTATACAGAGGCAAGAAAGAGGAGGTGAAGCATTGGAAATTACCTGGTTTTCTACATGATTTTTTTTTTATAAAATGTGATCTGACTTTCATCTAAGTCACAAGTATGGATGGCAAGCTGTCAGGGTCCAGCAGCAGTATATCAGCCCCAACTCCCAGTACTTTACTGTTGGGATGATGTTTTCATGTTGGTATGAGATTACCTTTTTAGCTCCATACTGAGTGCTGCATGTTCTTCACAAACAATTCAACCTCAGTCACCGAAACATTTTCCCAGTAATGTTTCAACTTTAGACACATTGCAGTTTCTTTTTTTGGACAGTATCATCTCTCCATGAAACATGTTTTCATGTTTCATACCAGCATAAAAATATAATGGTATTGGTATATTCACTTACTTTTTCTTGCTACCGTAAGCACCCATAAACCATTGATGCCACATTCAGTATCATAACCAGTGCATGCTGGTGACTGTTTTCTGTTTACCTGGTATAACAGGTTGCATGTTGAACAGCTGAGCTTTGTGCACCTCCATCTGCATAGTCTGTTTGTCCAACACTCCAACATAATATCTAAACAAACATCATATTTATTATTAATCCTCTTCATGGTCTCAGGACTAATTTCTTGAAACATATTAAAATAACTTACTTGCAAAGGTTGTTGCATTTCAGTGAAGCCGTTCCAAAATTATTCCCAACATAGGACAATCTGTCTGATTCAGCAACCTAGAAAGAGGAAAACACAAAGCAGCACTCATGAAAGTAACTGAAGGCAGAGCAACACAACCTGAACAAGTCATTTTACTGAGAGTAGATAGAGTGAAAATGCATAGTATAATGAATGCAAGTAGATTCTTTCTCACCAGTATCCGCCTGCTCTTTTTCCTGGGGTTACCCTCATCTGCGCTCTTGTACATCGTGAATTCAAGTTTGTCTGCATTTCTGACGCTACCGTTTGTAAAACGGACTGTGACACAGAAAGACACTGTATATAACTTGGGAATATACCAAGGGAATATATAAGACATTTATGATTACACAGAGGTGTGAATTTAATCTAACTAAAGGTTCAAAGTCTTTATTTGTCATATGCACGGTTAGGAAACACGTTTCCCTGTAAAGCAGCAGCAGCTGGTTGCACTATGCAATCTTTGTGAACTTTAAACTAAATTTATATGAAAATAAGAACTTTATATATTACAACACAACTATAACCTATATAGTTGGTAACCTATAACCTATATTATACACACTACTGAACAAGGAGTCCTGCTGCTCGCACCCACGTGTACAATATAAATAGGTCTTTAAAATAGAAAAGATAAGAAGAACACGATAGTTACTGGCACGATTACGAACAAAATTTCATAAAAGAGCAAATAAATAAAACTAATAAAGGATTGTCACCTATAAATGCTTTATCAGAATCGGTCTCCTCTCCACAACACACTAGCGAACAGGAAGCAGCCATATTTGTTGTCATGTGTTTCCAAATGATGCAAGAGGTTTCACACCTTTGTACCTCCGTCCTCGTCGGGATTCTCGTTATCCTCCCAGAGGGTTGGGCAGCACGGTAAGTGTAGAGCTTCTCTTTCTTTCTTTTTAATTGATGGGTGACATTAATATCTTATGTTTACTCATGAATGATGATTGACAATCCACTCAGGATGAACGCGTGGCGTGAAGATATACTCTTGACACTGTCTACACTCTTTGGATTTACAGGCTCTGATGTTACAGCAGCGGCGCCCTGTGGAGGAATGGTTGAATTGCAGCACTTCACATCGGCGAGGTCATAGACATGGCAGTGAAGCACAACGCCACCCTGTGAGTCTGGATGGGAAAACCTGTCTGAGATGGGAAATTATTACAGATTATAACACATGCATGTTGGACCCGGATAGTGTTTAGCAATTTGGATCTGTATGAATGGTTGTTAGAACTGACTCCGCATGGGCGGTGAAACTGGCAAAAGCGTCCATATGTTTGAGACAAACGGCCTCTATGATTGCACATCAAGGCAGATTTCGCCACTACAGATAGACCTTTAAGTACGAGTAAACTGTTAGTAGTGGACTGCAAAGGACGATAGTACGTAGCAGCAGAAATGCGTGTCCAGGTCTAGCTACGTTTGATGGAAACGCTGTACACTTGGTCAATCCAGGTGACCGTATCCTTGTGTTGTAACGTTAGCTAACAGGCTGCTCTGTGGTCGGCTAATTCTAGCCTTGTCAAATAACTAACTAACGTTAGTATTTGGAGCCCTGTTCTGTGTCTTGTTACCTACGCTTGGGATATTTAAGGTAATGTTAGTTAGATATCACTGTCTCTCTACTTTAAAATAATATAACTAATTCTGTGTTTTGTTAAGTTAGCTAGTTGCATTAGCCACATAGTCCCGTGTTAGCTAATGTGATTTGCTAGCCGTGTAGTACCATCTAACACTGCAGAGTACAGGGCTAACGTTATGCTCTGTAACCACTGTGTTATCAATGCAGTTATAACTATATACCTTATGCACAAGTAAACAGTTGGACTAACAAATTTCACAGTACACTTTGGTTGTTTTGTTCACAGTCTGTCCTCATAATATAAACACCTCCTCAACCAAAGCTAGCATACAAAAAGCATCTTCATCTGTACTAACCCTCCCTCAAATCGCACCTTTACATCCATCTGCTCCGTCCCTGCCCTCATTATAGACTTCCATTATAATACAGCCATCTTAGGCTGCAGCTGCTGGTGTTTTTATTGTCAGAGAATCTGTGGAGCCCAATTTCAGGTTTTGTCCAATCAAAAGATCAAACCTCAGAGACATACCATTTACAATAATAAATCAAAGAGAATTATCAAATCTTCACACTTTAGCAGCTGCAAATATTTGATATATTTGCACAGCAATGGGCTTAAAAGATTAATCAGCCATGAAAACTCTGACCAATTAATGTTGTAACCATTTCATCTGTTTAACTGTCTTGTCACTTGTTTTTGCCTTATCACCATTATACCCTTTTAACCTTTTTACCTGTGTTTTTAGGGCCATGGATTTCCCAGGGCACTTTGAGCAGATCTTCCAGCAGCTAAACTATCAACGTGTCCATGGTCAGCTGTGTGATTGTGTCATCGTAGTTGGCAGCCGACACTTTAAGGCCCACCGTTCAGTATTGGCAGCCTGCAGCACTCATTTCAGAGCCCTGTTCACTGTTGCAGAGGGAGATGCCAGCATGAACATGATCCAGCTAGACAGCGAGGTCAGAATCATAATAATATGGTGTCAAAGAGGGAAAGGGTGATAGTATAACATTAAATATTTATAGTGACGACACTGGCAAAGTCTGTCATTCATTAAAAACTCTGACACTTGTGTCTTGCTACCATTTCAGATAAACAGGATCAAACAAATACTTATTTACTTGCAGGTGGTGACAGCTGAAGCTTTTGCTTCTCTGGTGGACATGATGTACACATCAACACTGATGCTGGGGGAGAGCAACGTCATGGATATCCTCCTTGCAGCCTCGCATCTGCACCTTAACAATGTAGTTAAGGCCTGCAAACACTACCTGACCACGCGGACCCTGCCTATGTCTCCTTCATCAGACAGACCCACCCATAACCACCCCCAGCAGGACCAGCAGAGGCACAGGCAACAGCAGCAGCAAGTAGCAGACTTAGCATTGAACCCTACTCTGGCAGCTAATGCTAACCTTGCAGCAAACACTGCCACATCTAAGTTGCAGCGCTCCTTCCTTCTTCAGCAGCTGGGGCTTAGCTTGGTGAGCTCAGCTTTGGGTGGGATGGAGGAGGATGGGGCGGGAAATGTAGTTGGCAGTAGAGGGGTGGAACAGAGAGCCCCTTTCCCCATCCGAAGATTCCACAAACGCAAGCCCTCACTTGTGCTGGGCCTGTCAGAGGAGAGACCCAGGCAGAGGCAGCGCCCCTCTGCTCCTAACCTGGGGCTGTTAGGAGAACAAGGCGTGAACGCAGAGCGAGATGAAAGAGGACTGCTTTCCCCGGACTCCCACAAGATGGGGGATGAGTCAAAATTGGATGCTGCAATTAGTGGCCTCGTAGGGGTGTCCCAGGATGACCTTCAGATGCCAAGCCAGTCTGACAGTGGACGCTGTGAGGGAGAGGACTTGGGGCGAATGCAGGGAGGGGTGAGCAAGGAGGAAGACATGGATGACCAGGACCATCAGGATAGCAGAGCAGGGGTCAAGATTAAATCAGGGACAGAGGAGGAGGAGGAGGCAGAAGAACAGGAGCAGAAGGTAACTAACTCCCATTTGGGCTCATGCTAGAACATTTTCATTATCCTTAACCTCTCTTACTTTTCTGTCAAGCTTGTTTGCACAAGTTTTTCAAATATAGTCAAGAAGATGTGACAGTCATGGAGATAGGCAAAATAAATGTATATACAGTATAATAGGTGACGTTAGACTGTCAGGTGTAAGAGAGGATGTTCACTGGACATTGACTTCCATTAACAACCCAGTAGCAGCTGTTTCAGTGTGAGAATTTGCGTACTAGCTAATGATATGCTATACAGTGGAACCTTGGATTGCGAGTATAATTCGTTCCGGCAACGTGCTCATAATCCAAAGCGCTCGTATATCAAAGCGAATTTCCCCATAAGAAATAATGGAAACTCATATGATTTGTTCCACACCCACTTATTCATATAAAAATGATTACAGTAATACAAAATACAGTGTAAAGTAAAAATAAAACAAATTAACCTGCACTTTACCTTTGAAAAGAATCGTGGCTGGCGTGAGGGTCCATTGTTGTGGTACAGATGTTGACTATATGAGTGAGGCACGAGAACCATCGGCTCAGTTGTGACGTGACGCTCGGCAGACAAAGCGTACGTACTACTCTTATTGCGAGACCTCGCTCGTTTATCGAATCAAAATTTTTGCTCGTCTTGCAAAACACTCACTTATTGGGTTACTCGCAATCCAAGGTTCCACTGTACATTACTGTGCCATAATACTATATGCAGATAAAGTCATAAAATTTACAAAACAACAGCAAACGTCTTAGTAAATTAGCCAAGACATGATGATGTTTACGAGGTGGACAGAATATTCATTTTCTGTTAGGTTTGTTGTAGCTATTTTTTATTTTTTGTTGTTTTGGGGATCTCCCAACTCATTCAGATTAAGGTAATTCTTCTGTCAAATAAGTGTTTTTCCCATTGTGGAGAAAGGCTGACTATCTGGTGAGTGCAACAGGTTTTAAATACGAATGTGTTTATACATGTGGTTCTTGCATAATCACCACAGAATAGTCTAACTTGTATGCATATGCAAATCATTCTGCTATAGTTTAATCACTGTCTTTGCTGGCTCTTTGACCTTTTAAAAATCAGATCCTCCCACTGCCTAAGATTAAACTCCTGTTTTGCTTTCTACAGGTGGTGGTTAAACGAGAGCCACTGAGCTCACCTGAGCCGCCAGACGAAATCAGCGATGTGACATCGCAGGCTGAAGGCAGCGACCCAGCTGAGCCTGGAGGTCATGAGGAGGAGGAGAAGGTGGAGCTGAGCCCAGAGAGTAGCGACCGCAGCTTCACCTCTGAACCCCAACCCAGCTCTGACTCTCTGCTGCAACCCAGCTCCCAGCTCCTCCTTAAGGGCACCATGGGAGGGCCCGGTGTCGGAGGAAGTTTTGGGTGTAATAGCGGATTAAATGGCAAACCTGGTTTTAGTATTTCTAGCTTCCTTAGCCCGAAGGATTTTGGAAATGGCGGTGCAGGGTTGGTTACTGGAGAAGACGAACTCCCTAACACAACAACTGGGGAGTCTGTGGCGCATCACTTCCTGCTCCCTGCTGAGACAGGAAGCTGCTGGGCCATCTGGCTCTGCTGCTTCTTCTCTTCTGCAGTCAGGTCCGCTCAGAGGTGAGAGTCGAAATGGTTTTGGAGACGGCCTGCAGCCTGATTCCCTATTTCTCCGCCCCATGCATGATGGTTTGGGGACCTCCAGAGGAAATGGGGGAAGTGTGAGTGGAGGACGTGGAGGGGTAGATCCCTTTGGTTTGGATTTCCAGCACTCTAGTTTAGGGCTTCACTCTCTGGGGCGACCTTCACGAGGGGCTGGAGGGGCAACCACTGCAACTCTGGGCTATCCAGGTTACAGACGTATCGCTCCAAAAATGACCACTGGCATGGGAGGAGACGAAGGAGTAGGCGGTGTTCTTCAAGATGCTGCCTCTTCTTCCTCAAGTCTGGCAAGTCCCTTGCTTCTCAACGAAAATGGTGGTGGGTATGAGATAAACAGCGGAAGGCCCACCTCCCTCCCCCCTCAGCTGACACGAGCTTCAGCTGATGTCTTGTCCAAGTGCAAGAAGGCTCTGTCGGAGCACAATGTCCTGGTGGTCGAAGGAGCCCGGAAATACGCCTGTAAAATCTGTTGCAAAACCTTCCTCACTCTGACTGACTGCAAGAAACACATCCGCGTCCATACAGGAGAGAAACCTTACGCCTGTCTCAAGTGTGGAAAGCGCTTCAGCCAGTCCTCCCACCTATACAAGCATTCCAAGACCACCTGTCTGCGCTGGCAGAACAGTAACATGTCCAATGCCCTGCTGTAGGACCAAGATGACTGCATCAAGGTAGAGGGAGACAATAAGACGGATATTTTGGTAATCGGTGATGGGATGAATTTACATACTCAAAAATGCTTTGACTCTTCAGAAGCTGTCACAGAGCAGCTGGATCTGATCGGCTGTTTTGTGCAAACTAATCAGTCCTGGTGAAAGACCAAAGACAGTGATGATATTGTGATCCTGCATTTTTTTTCCAGGTGACACCAACACTATCAAATCAGCAAGTTATTGTAAACACAAGTAGCCTGTAGAGAAATAGCGATGCGGGGAATGCAAACATGCCATTATCTGTTGCTACGGAGTCTTTAGAGAGTACCACAGATGTACACCGTATACATCCCTGTTAAGAATATCATATGAATATTATGATGATTTTTCACTGTGTCAAAACATGCAGCACTTGACCCAGGCCAGCCTAGGCTTGGCTTTTAAAGCAGCCACACTGTTGGCTATATCGTGTTTTTTAAAAAACAATTGCCGCTTTTGTAGTTAAGTGAAGTTTAGAAATGCTGAGGTGATCGCTTAGTGCTGGACATCTAGAGTTTGTGAAAGGAAGTTTGACTCGGTCTTTACTACACTCAGTTTGCAAATCAGAGGCAGCTGTGCAGCTCCATCATTAAGATTGGATATGATGTAAAATAATGTGCTTATGTGTAGATTTTCTATTGCACATTTGTAAAACATGTAGCAGCATCCCACACCACACTGTCCCAAATGGGCACGTTGACTGTGCTTTGTTCTGTGAAGGGCAGTGATATAGACAGTGTACATTATTGCCTCAGATTAAGTTTGAACACCAGTTGTAACGCCTGCAAGTACTGAAAACTACTGAACTCGTTGCCTTACAGAAGAACATTGTACATGCACATTGAGAGCCACTGTACCTGAGTCAAAATCCTCATGAGTTCAACACACCTGGCCAATAAAGCTGATTCTAATATGTTATCGGCAAGCCAGTATTGGCTTGCCATGCTAACGTTAGAATACAGCTGTTGCTGAGGTCAGCATGCTGTATATAGCATGAATGAATACGGACTGCTCTGCAAGTGGATGAAGTTAATGCTAGATCATAAACTCTGATGCTGATTGTTTGCCCCCTCAGTCCAGGGGAATATCAAAAAACACAGGTGGGAAAGCCGATCAGTTGGACCATAATGATTAGCAATCCGACTGATTCATTTTGAATATTTACTGGCGCTCCTGAAGCAGTAAGATATGGCTGAAGAGAGAGATGTACGCTGGGAGCGGAAGAGGGCAGCAGTGCAGGAGGGACAGGTCAGATGAACAGTACAGAGGTAATCTACTATAGTATTACTTTATTTAATTAAAAAAAAAATGCACTGAAATGTTAACTTATCAAGTACTATACACCTGATTCCTCTATTGACTGAAGAGATGAAATTTGAAGCCACTGACTTTGTGGACCAGGACAGGAGCCCCCCCATACAAACAGCTCATCATCTCTTACTAGCTGATTATGGATTTTTATGCATAATCAACATTGTCTTATGTGAATTGATGTGAGATGTTTGTTTTTTGTAGTAGCCTGTGAGTCCAGTAATGTGAGCTCAGTTAAAGGTAAGAATGTCTGGCAGTGGAATACAGTTTCCTACAGGATATCGAGGATACTGACGTTCAATGCATGTTGAAAAGATGCTTTAAAAATGTAAATATTGCAGTTATGTAGTTTTTTTTTTTTAATCATTTTTCTCTTGGAGAAGAGACTAAACAACTCCTGAAGAACTGAACATTGTGTACGCTTGCTACTGTACTTGATATTAGTACTTTATACATGTCTCTTTATACATCTAATGTTACATCTGAATCAAAAGCACTTAGACAAATCAGTCTCCTTTATAACTAATATGTTTACTGGAATGTTGAACTATGAAATTGTTGCCATTTTGCAACTGCCCAACTCTTAACAGTCCTCAAAGGTTTTGTCTTCTGTAACGTTAGCTTTATTTTGGCTTAGCATTTTTGTTGTTCTTTGCAGGCAATCACTCATATTGTCTGCAAAGCCAGAAAGTCATTCATTTCTAGAAGAATGTTTCACATGGCTTATCTAAGATTCAAAAAGAACAGACAAAGATTTTGCGTCTCATAGAAAATAACATTTTTAAATCAACCCAGTTTGGGATGACTGACCTCCAGCGAGTTGTAAATAAGAGCAGCTTCACTGGTAGTTGGTTAATTCAATCAGAGTTCATCCAGTGTTGTAAAGTTCTTTTTTTTTAGTAAACTGGAGTGGGGAAAAACTTTTAAGTATGACTGCTTTTTTGTATACTTTATTGCTTGCTGTATTGTCATCTACAAGTCAACGAGCATCACATTGTCATTGCTTCTGTTTCTAGTTGGCACTTCATTGTACTGTAGAGTCAGCACATTGTTAGCTTGTACAAAACAACAGCTTTATTTGACACATTAATGGATAATTGTGACATTTGACTTCAGAGGAGAAGAATTGCCTTGTAGGACGATCTCCCTGTAAACATAAGCTAGCCTACCGTTTGCTATGTGATTCTCAACACCGTGGAATTGGCATTAAAATCTTTGAACCACTGATGGTTCAGATTTGAATGTGACACCTGTTCCTCTGTGTTGCCTGCTCAAATTCAGCCCCTGTTTGTTGTTTATGGAAAGAGCTTGCTATGGAAATCAGCTTGAGTTGTAGCGGTAGTCCTCCAAAACAGCTTCTGTGTCTCACACAGTGGCGTAGTAGCAATTATAATGGTGCTCTTTTCTATAGCTGTTGCATAAACAGCTATAGAAAGCCAATGATCAAATGTGAATCTCTAAAAAAAAATGCACTGACTGTATTACCCCTGTATGAATACACCAAATTGTTGATATAAAAGGCTTAAATAGATTATGAAAGTCACTGCCTTATGCCCTGTAGCTTGAAAAGCTGGACTTTTGTTGTTATGCCAAATCAGAAGGATTTCTGTTTTTCCTGTATAGGTAACATAGTGTAACCATGAGAGGACTAAATGTGTCTCTTTACTGTTGAAGGCTATGAAGATTGTATTGTATGTTCAGCTGTTGTATAGACTAAATTAAAAAATGAAATGAATGTTGTTGCTGGTGACATGTTTATGAAATAGCACAGACATGAGACAAGAATGAGAGAATCAAATTTTATTTTACATATTGAACAGAAGGAAGAGTGAAAAGTAAAAGAAATAAGGAAAGATGATATAAAAAAAAATACAGGTTTTATTTTACCTTTACAAAATAATTATGCAAGTTGAACTAATGGTCCAGTTCTCCGAGTGGCACTGGTTTCTTCTCACAGCTTCAACTCTTTGATCATTGGCTCACCCCGCAGACCAAGGAGGAGGTTGTTAGCTGCCAGGGCAGACATGGCATTACGGGTGGTGTAGGAGGCACTAGCAATATGTGGTAGAATCACTGTGGGAAGGAGGAATTATAGAGAAATTATGGGCAGTGAGAACGGTGCATGGTGGTTAACATCAAAACCAGCCATTTTTAAGGCAGTTAAACTAATTGAAGTCTGACAGACTAACCACAGTTTTTCTGGGTAAAGAGTGGGTGGCTGGTTGGAAGGGGCTCAGGGACAGTGACATCCAGTCCAGCTGCTGCAATCTGACCAGTAGATAGAGCCTCATATAGGTCTTCTTGGTTCACTACACCACCTCTGACGCAACAGAGAAACCAAAATCATAACATGGGTGGTGTATTGTCGTTCTCAGTCGATTTGCATCATTAATCGATGTGTTTTAAAGCTTCACTAAAATGCTGTTTCACTTAATACCTGCTTGTGTTGATAAAGATGGAGGTATTTTTCATTTTGGAGAACAGGTCCTTGTTGCAGATCTCCTTTGTTTCCGGTGTTAAAGCACAGCATACAGCTAGGAAATCTGACTGCATTGCCAGCTCATCCAAAGATACTACACCAAGGAAAAGGTTTGTTGATATCATATGACATAAAACGTCTGAGAGCAAACTGTCTATACAAACAGTTTAGTTCTATTAACATCTCTGAATGTCCCTGTTTGAGATCAGGATATGGAAGGTCAGCAGAGATTACATGAATTCTGTGTTTGACTACCCAGTGCAGGAAACTTCTCCATCTTTTTCATAGCAGACATTTTGACTTGTCATAGTATGTACAGTAAAGGTATTAGTAATAACATTACAATGTCTCTGTTGAATTCAAGTGTCTCACTAGCTCAAGACATTGTGACAGTGAACCAACATGCACAACACCAGAACCCTGAAACCAAAGCAGCTAAATGGAATTCAGTTCTCATTGTTTTTATTATTTACACCAATGCTTTTCCTAAATGTCCTTGGCACAACAAAGGTAGACAATGTCAAAACGGCCTTAAATCTGGTCCTTACCATACTCTGCATTGATGGCACTGGCCAGCTCAGGCCTGGGGGCCATGTCTGTGTAGATGAACTTCTTTACTTTGAAAGGTGCCAGACGCTCAGCGATCGCCACACCTTCAAGCACAAGCACACATTGTAAGGTGTATTAGACTGACAGAAATGGCAGTTTGGTGGTAAGATGATGTTTCAGACATTGTATGCTCACCGATCCTTCCTAGGCCAAGAATACCCACAGTGCTGTTGGCCAGCTCATATCCACAGAGCCACAAAGTTCTCCATGTCCCCCAGCCACCACTACAACAAATGAGAGTGAGTTAGAGATTTATTTGTGTCTGCATGTTTTAAATAGGATTTTTGCATCTCTGTGTCTGTACATTTTGTGAATGTGTGTGTGTGTGTGTGTGTGTGTGTGTGTGTGTGTGTGGGTGTGTGTGTGTGTGTGTCTTGGCTTCATGTGTGGCCTCTATGAGCCTCCTGGAGGTTGTGAGCAGCAGAGCTACTGTCAGCTCTGCCACAGCATCTGTCAGAACATCTGGGGTATAACCAACACGGATTCCTCTGATCCATGAGAGAAATACACGCACATACAAAAATTACACAGTCATACATACATGTCACTAGGTGTGATCACTATGCCTTTTTTCACATATTGTGCAGACACACAAGTATGCACACAATACAGAAATATATTGACAGGGTCACCTTTTCTTCAGTTCCTCCAAAGAAAGATGGTCAAAACCCACTGACATAGTACTAAGGACCTTCAGGTTTGGACCTGCAGGAGTACATTGCACATGCAAATATAAACATGAGAGACTGTTCATTGCATGTAGGCTATTTAAGTGGCTCAAAGACTATCCTCAGACCTGCAGCGTCTAAAAGTTCTGCATCAATCTTCTCGGTCAGCACACAGAGCAGACCGTCAACGCCTCTGACCTTCTGAAGCAACTCCTTCCTGGGCACAGGGACATCGTCTGAGTCCCAAAGCTCAAACTGCACCCTGGAAAAACAGAAACAAAGACTGAAGTTGCAATCTTTTTTTTTTTTTTATCCACTGAAGGAAATTCATTGGCCATCGCTGAAAAAAAAATAGCAATGACAAAATATACAAAGTAATACAACAGATTTCAGATATATCAGGGATTCTTATGCAGTTAATGCTCCTATTTAGATATAGAGTATCCCAAGCTATGCATTATATATTGTGATATAGTGTATGTCCCAGTATTGACAGGAAGGTGCAGTGAAACATCTTCATTTCTGTTGTGGGGGAATACACTTTAAGCTGCAGTCTTATCTGATCAGCCTGAGGGCAAACATTAGCAGTGCTGTTTACTCATAGTAAATGATGAACTGTACAAAGTTTATATTCAGGCTAAAGGTATCACAGTCACATCAGCTACAGAAGGTATTTTCTGGTCATACAAGATGTTCTATATGAAAACTGTTCATTTAAAGTGAATTAACAGGAAACATGACTCACTGTCCAGATTCACGGAGGATCTTCAGACCCTCAGGTGGGATCTGGCGGGCGACATACACCCGTGGTAGGTTAGACATTTCCCTCTGCACATTGCCTGTTAGACCTCTAGTGATATTCAGTGGAGTAACGGTGATCCGTTGAAGCCGACACAGCGCCACACGACTGCACCACATTGCCAGGAGAGAGTAAAGCAGATGTTTGTAAGCTGGACGTGTACTTTGGAGTTTAACATCTGTTGTGTTGTCTGCATGTGCATGATCTTGGCTCTTGTTCAGGGGGGAGGTTCTTGTGTGTGTCTTCGACCAATATGATTAGAGGGAGGGTGTCTCTAAAGTCTGAAGGTAAGGGATACTGTCCCAGACCAACCTGTAATACAAAACAGTCAAATCTTTGTCCATCTTTGGGATTAAGTGTCTATACTGTTTATATACACAAATTATACAAGCATATTATAGACAGCAGTAGACTTGTATTTTCCTTACATTAGTCCCCAGAATGACAGGTAGCATGATGTAAATATTTTACTGGCTGCTGACCTTTGTTTCTTTAAACAGTTGAAGCCCCACACATAGTTTTCTGTTTTGTTTAAATGATTGTCACAGAGCAGTCAAACAGCTGAGAACTGATTTAGAAAAAAAACAGATGTACCTAGATAACAATAATAAATATGTTACCAAAAACTAAAATATTTGTTTTTGCAACTGCCTTATACAAAAATAATGCAATATTTTTAAAGGTTTGACATTGTTTCTTTTTGTTGTCACTACTGTTGAGAGTCTGTCCTCCTGTGAAACACGACAGTATACATTGTTTGTGTGAGGACTTGTTGGTAAACAAACAACACCATGTGTAGCAGGACTGTCCATATTGTATCTGGACATAATGGTTGAACTCAGTAGCTGCTTTTAAAGACACCGTAGGCCTGTGTAAGATGCATTTACTGTAAATGTAACAGGCTGGATCAGAAGGAGAGAAGTGTAAAGACCCCTACTGAAATTTCTACGTAAAACAGACCTTGAAGACACTTATTGTACTGTAGGTTGTGAGGATTTCAGACAGAAGTTGAGACAGGCTTTGGGTGGTCAGGAAGAACTTCCAGATGACTGGGAAAATACAGCAGAAGTGATCAGGGAGACAGGTAGGAAGGTGCTAGGTGTGTCATCTGGAAGGAGGAAAGAAGATAAGGAAACATGGTGGTGGAACGAGGAAGTAGAGGACAGCATTCAGAGGAAGAGGCTAGCTAAAAAGAAGTGGAACGTAGAAAGGATAGAAGAAAGTATACAGGATTACAAGAAATTGCAGCATAGAGTGAAGAGGGAGGTGGCAATGGCCAAACAGAAAGCATATGATGAGTTGTATGCCAGGTTAGACACGAGGGAAGGTGAGAAGGACTTGTACAGATTAGCGAGACAGAGAGCTAGAGATGGGAAGGATGTGCAACAGATTAAAGACAATGGAAAGGTGCTAACAAGTGAGGAG